AGTTGTTGAAACCTATTGGTGCAGCCACTTTGCTGATCTGAAGGTCTGGACCATTTGATTTGATCAAAAGACAAGGAACCGGGGCCCAACTGCATCTGCGCCCCCTTACATGATTCATGGGCAAAAAGCCCTTGAGAGGCATCCACACGCTGAAAAGGACGGGCAAAAGCTCATCCTTACCCGCACTGAAATTGAGGTCCGACTCTGCTTCCTCTTCTTGAAGGGTCATTGAGGTCCAGGCTGAGAAGACTTCCCATGCGCCTCAACGGAGCTCGCGAGAAGGGTTCCACCGCCCGCTCAGAGTGAGAACCGCACCAATCAACTCTTTTGAGAACCGAAAAACGAACGAGAAAACGCTCTTGGACGCACTCGTGACTAGTACTGACAAATATCCGAATACATACATCAACCCCCGAATCCTGACCAACATGTAGTCTCTAAAATCAACCTGACCCCAAAGCTGACATTGACCCCTGAAGATGCACCGTGACTACTCGGACTACCTGACACTATGTCTTGCACAGAGTCAGATCGCCAGTTTGGATTATGTCCAAAATCATGTTGTGATTTGACAATGAGGTCATTTTGAGTCAGATCCCCAGTCAGAGCATGGATCATGAGGTCATCCGATCCATCTTCCGAACCACCAAGGCGGCGGTGACCCGTACCGCGCCTCCCCTTCGGCCAAGAGCCCGCGACCTCGGCGGGTTTAAGCCGGACCGGTAGAAACCAGAGAAGCTGGGTCTAAGTGGCCCGATGAAAACGTTGGTCAAGGTTGAGTCTAAGTACAATGTGTAAGCAGATGTTGGCACTCATGTTGAGTTCCCGACATGCACACTCGACGCTCACGTATTGTAGTAGAACATGGCCCCGAGCTGGGGCAATCGTGGTCATTGAATTTGGCCCTTTGAAATTTCGTGAAAGTGACTGTGTCATTGCCGGTCAGAAGGACATTTTACCGCTCCAGCCAAGCTTGGTAGCTGGGCTTGAAAGCGAAAATGATCGAAAATGGATAGCCTTTGATCTGTTGGACATACCTGGGCCGCTGGCACCCACCTTGGTGCCTTGGTGGTATTGGTGGGGCAGTGACGGCCTCCTTTCGCTGCATCCAACACTCCCACCTTCCTGGCTTTCCGGCTCGAGAGTAAGTCCAGCTGCTGTCGCAAGCTTCTCACCTCCAAGCGGAGTTGATGACCAGTTCACTGTGGTCACAGAACGTCCAACCGAACCGGGGTTCCGCGACCATCCGCGTTGTAAAAGCGCGAGGTCCTAAAGGGAACGAGGTGGATCAAGAGTATGGCTCCCAAAGCTCCGGTTTTGGCAAAAAGGACTATGGTACAACCTGTGGAGACCGAAAGCGATTGTTCCCCAACCGCACGAGCCGCTCGCCTCCAGCATCAGCGATTCAACCGTACCGGAGTACTCCTCGTTCATCACGGCCTAAGTGGCTGGTTTGCGAAAGGGGTTCGCTCTCACAGCGCCAGCAAACAAGCCAAAAGAGCCATGTTCTGGTTCTGAATTCAAAAGAGTGGTAGAACTTTATCGGATGAAAAGCAAGGGTCACGCATGGGCCAGGTGATAAAGTCCTGACATGCCATTCCCCAAGACAGTCGGAGACGTCCAACAACTTTCAAGACCTTTCTAGTGTGGCAATGCATATATATATATATATAAGTAGAATGGAGATAGACAAACAATTGGAACCACACTGAAGTTCGGAGGGACATCTGCCTTCCCAACATCAACTGGAGCATGTATTTTCAATATCCAATACACCACCACCATCATCTGCTTCCAGATCCCCTACGGGGAAACACTCTGGTGAACAAAAAAAACGGCTGGAAACTCCCAAAGCCAAGGCATTCAACTGCACAATCCAAAGTGGCCAAAACCAACTCTTCTCCGTTTCCCTGGATGAAACATACATCAGTCAGAGATATCAACACCTGCGTCCACATCCAAACATGGCCCCAGATCCGACCACCACGTTTTCATCATCCGCAACTCGGTGCAGACCGACAGAACCTCTCCGGTTCCTCCAAGACTGGCCACCCACCCCATCCAACAGGCTACAAGTCTGCTCAAGTGGCGCTGCAGCGGATGTGCTTGGCGCGTGCGGCGAATTTCAAGGTCGACAAGGTCTCGCCGAAGCACAACGCCTCAGAACCACCAGATTGACACGCGCGATGTGCGAACATCGGCGGTTAACATCGTCCAGGGAGCAGCACGCATCCCTCTCCCCCTTCGGATTCTAGGAAAATTCAGCCAACAGGAAAAGAAAGACGAACAGAACGGTTTCTTCTCAAAAACCTGGAAACGCCCCTTCACCCCACCCCCCATCGGCCCGTCACTCACACCCCATCGGCCCATTCCCATCACCCAGTGGCTGATGGGCTGACACAGCCAACGATGACCGTCTTGGAGTTGCCGCCTAAAGAATCCCGGAGCAGAAAGGTCAGTTTGCCTGGCAGCGGCATTTCAGAAGCCATGCGATGTGAAGTGGAGCGAGACCCAAAAATGCACATGGAAGACAAAAATTCCACTGCTAAAGAAAATCAGTCTTTCGCAAAGGGACATGCCACCTACTGTTCATTCTTGTTCTTCAAAATGTCTGTGTTGTTGATACACACTACCGTCCACCCTCTGCATTCCAACCCAGCAAGGAGTACTGTCGCGGTAGCGAACGAAGGGCTGGCGTTGCCTCAGCCACTTTCCCATGCTTTTCTCGCATGCTGAAGAGGAAACAAATATAGATGCTGTCAAAGGTGGTTACTGTAGTGCGTAAAATGATGTAAAATGCTTCAGCAGTGTCAGAAGAGACGCGACGTGTGCAAGGCACGGATGGGCTGAAAGCTCTTTTTCAGCTGCAAGTCAGACCTATTGAAAACGCAAAACGCAACCTTTTCCCGCAAAACTCCCCTAACATTGGAGGACGCGTTGAACAGTGCCAATCGACAGGAATGAAGCACACTGGTAGCCATGATCACTTCGACCAGGTCCGGGACCGTGGTAGATCGAGAGCTTTTCGTTCGGCGGTCTTTGCCACTTGCCGTGGTAGATCCAGCAAAGCAGCAAACCAAGAAAAATGCCACTTGGTGTAGCATGGATGATAGCCAGTTTACTGGCATTTTGCCACCCCAAAAAAAGTGGTTCAGACAGCTTACCGACAGCTTCTGAAAAGGAAGAGATTCCTTACCTGGAATCCTTCCAGAGAACCCCCGAATCTGCCAGGATTGAGGCTGCGTCCATCTGCCGATCCGCGGTCTAAGGCCCTCACGGCCCAGCTGATGACGGCTTTCGACGATGTGACAAAGACCTCAGGTGTTGAGACGACCCGAGTTTCCCTCGACGAAACCGCCGACCGACCAGGAGGGGACGTCTCGACCAGGTGTCGTCTGATCGTCGGAATCAAGAATTGGGCTAGCGACATGTCCCTCCCAAAACATGCGTGAAATGGACTAATCCATGAACCAACTTCCGTGCGTGCTTCCCTCAGTTTTAGAGCTGGTCAGAGCACCTTCAAGATCTTCAAGGAATTTCTCGTCCAGCGTGTCAGCATATCTTATCATAGAACCCAACTACACGAGGGACATTCATGTAGCCCCAGACTCTACATACTGTACTTGTCTTGAGTATCTCCCAAAAATGACACGCAAAAAGGGTACCTCTTCTTGTTTGGCCCTCTTTACCCCTCTCTCACTCTCTCCCTCTGGTGTGACCCCTCCACCTGCTACCTCCCCCATCCCTCCGCGTCGGTGGCCCCAGTGGCATGATCACGTTGGTCAACGCGCTCAAGCTCCGATTGATAGCCCCAGCTTCCTTCACCCGCAAGCTCTCGTGCTGCGGCGCAGCCGTGCGGCGCGGAATCAGCACCGGAGTCTTCCCAAATCTCTCAGCTTCTTGTGACGTTCGTTTCGATGGCCTCCAACCTACTTGCGATGGCCTCCACCTAATAGCGTCCTGGCTCCTAGTGGATTTGAGACAAAGCCAGTTTCACGCTCAAGATTGTTGGAGACCATCAAGTTTCACCGTTTTCTAGATCGTTTGCGGAGAAGACGTTCTGGATTTTGTTCTTGAGCAACAAAAACGCACCCAACTCCTGAACTGAATTGGCACAAGCAAAGAGCCACAAAATTGACGAAATGAGTTGCACCTGGCCCACAAACAGATTACATATATACATGTCTGGCTATGGCTCAGACAATAAGACCCTAGAGTCCTTTTTAGCAGTACCCTACTTTGGGCGCCAAAGCCATACCATCTTGAATCGAATGAATCTACTACCCGAGCTTGCTGGCACTTGTTCACCAACCTCCCCAGCCAAGCACTTCGCTTCAAGAGCCATCCCTCACCACCAACACTGCGCCAACCGCGCTGAGCGCGCCGAGCGCGCCGGGGAGGAGTGGTCGAAGCTCTGCCGCTCCGAGCCGGCTAAGTCGATGAGGTTCAACCTGACCGGCGTCACAGCGCTGCTCACAGACCCCGCGGGTCAAGTCACGTCAGACCGCGCGTGACGTTTGGGGGGGGGGATGGGAGAAGCGGTTCCGAAAGGTTGAAACTCTTGGTCTACTATACATTGTTTCTACTAGCTTCTTGTTACTACTAGTAAGGCACTTGTTACTAGTAGCGATGCACTTGTTACTAGTAGCTAAAGGCTGGGGGTGTCTTAGGATTTGGGATTAGGAATTAGGGCCAGGAGCAAAATCACTGTGTATATATATATATATATTGATCGTATTCGGTACTCCTGAATGTTCACAGAAAAATGATAAACCGGTGCTTTGCTTTTGAACCAAGAGCAGGATTGCCCACAACTACCATGGGTTGGCCCTGGATTCCAGCAGATGAAGATGGAGATGAAGGGCCTTCTAGGACCAACAACGACCCAATGAAAGATACCCCAATAATCTATTGTTGAATCGTATGAACTAGGTCTTAGACACCCCAATTTGGATGGTAAAAGACCTCTTCAATCTGGTTGACACTGACACTCGAATCCTCTACATCTCGGAAGACTCCGCTTCCGCTCCGTTCCTGAACCCGACCTCCTCTCGGAGCGTCGGCCTGGAGACCTTGGTCGACGTCACGCCGCCCGCGGTGGTGCTGGACGCTTCAAGCTTCAAGGTGAAGACCGCATGCGACCTCCGCCGTGGCCGAACTAGGGCAGGGCGGCATGACCGGCGGAGCGACCGGCGCGAGCGAGGAGAGCCTCCGGTTTTGGAGACCTGAGACTCAAGATGCAGAACGCTGGGTGCAGAACTCAAGATGCAAGGAACACTTGACAAGAAATGCAGCTCTTGAGTTCAGTAAGGTGGATCGGCGAAAAGAGCTTCGTGGAGTCCATGCTGGGATCCTACAGTTGACCGGTGCAGAAACGCTTCCAACCTGTGCTCCTGTTCGGTGGTGCTTTTTCTACAAACCCTTGGGAAGCGAGGGTCCACACTTTGTTGTTACGAAGGGTGAACCACCTATACCACCTATCTGCCCCGAAAAAATGAAGCAGGCGATGCGGTCAGACCTGGGAGAGTGCTTGGTTGTGACCGAGTTTCCTTCTCTTTTGAGTTGCTGTACGCCCGACATGTCGTCAACATCCTATGCGTCCCGGTGCACAATCTACCACATTTTTGGATCAACACACCCAGAAACGCCCTCGTGTTTGCGAATGATTGCGTGATGGAAACACCCCCAAGTTCACGGAACATCGAATGCGATGTTGAGCCTATTTGAAGACAGGTGCCCTCTGCGAGGCCGCAGAAATCAAAAGAGACTGCGCCGCCGCAGCCGCACCCTTCTCTTCCTTCTTCGTTCCCGAAAAAGGATCGGGGGATCAGCCGCGGCCACCCCCGACCCAACGAAGCACCAACAAAAAGGAGCAAAAAGGACACAGACCGATCCTTGAAGTTCCCATTTGGTTGAAAAACACTGCCTAGAAATGGGGACCACCGACAAATAGGTAGGAGATCACCTTATAAGGACCTGAAGAGGGTAGTGAATATACAGTAGGATGGTGAAAGAGCGCGGATGGGTGGATGAGTTCTGCACCAATCTACCGCGGCTCTTCGGGACCCAGTGACCCCCCCAATGAATCGGCAGTCCAAAACCATTTCTTCAAAGCATCCGCCCACCCGATCTGAGAGGGCCGAAGGAAACGATGCTCCTCCATCAGTGAGCTAAGCTATGACCAGCTTTTGTGGTTGGAGAGTTTTGGACGCGCTGCAAGAAGAATCAACTCAAACCACTGGTCACATCCATGGTCAAATCTGTCCCCTAGACTTCCGAATGGTTGACCTGGTTTTGTAGTGTAAAATCCTTAGTTGGTGCAGTAAAGCCTATAAAACGAATGGTGATTGTCTATATAGTCAAATCTGTCGTTTCTTCCGCCAAATCCATGTCCACCTGGAGCTCAGCTCGTTCATCTGTGTGGCGGCCACATGTCTTTGATGTAGTCCCTGGCACGGCGGTTTGATGTAGTCCACCCGCGAGTCCAGAACATCAACCCGTTTTGCCAGACACGGTCCAGTCCGTCTCCGCGTCCAGTTCACGCGCGGGTCCCAGGACGCGGAGGCCCACCAGGCGCCTTCCACACCACGTGGAACGCGTCAGAGGAACTCCAAGCGGAGTGCTCCGACAGACGTTCCACGTACACACCACGATTGGTGTCCTGGGGACACATCCAACGCGAGACCGGACCCCCGTGGGCTGTGGGGTTGGGACCCGACAAGGGATCGTTCTGCGGTGCGTGGTAGCATTTTGGTGAATCAGCGTTGTATGGAACCTGAGTGACCTCTATTGTGGACCACCAACCACCCAAGGTATTTAATATCCTGTGGCTCCCTCCATGGCGGTTTGGATCACCAAGATCGGTTCGTCCTTGCTTCTGCTCAAAAATGCCAGACATCGAGGTTGTTTGGGTGAACATGAATGTGCGGGAGAAAAAACAAAACCAACGGCTTCGCTCCGCTGGTCCTCCCGGATTTGCAGGTTGCTGGCCGAAGGCTCGAGGAGATCGGTAATCTGCTCCTGTGCACGGTGGACTTGGTGGAGACTTGGCACCCAAAAGCAACCCAACTGAGCAGCCAGCGGTTGCTTAATAAGCAGCCAGCAAAGCTGGATTGGTGAATTGCATGCAAAGAGCTGAAAACTAAAGGCGAGTTGAGCCTAAAACTTGTGATGATGGGTGTTGAGACCATCAGAAAGGGGCGATGAATGCACCCAAACTGTGACACAGGATAGTCCACAAATTGTTCTGAAAAGTGCATGCACCACCAAAACCCGGCGCCCTTCTCAGTGCTACGTCCCTCAAACTTTAGATGATTTAATTTGCTCAGGAACTGCACAACAGTTCGATCATCCAAACCTTCCGACATGCCGTCAAAAAACGCAATGTTGCCCTCACGTGGAAAGTTCTGGTTCATCATAGAATTTGATGGGGGCATCGTGAGGCCAATGTAGCACCTCCAGCAAACATCCTCGGCCTCGGCCTATCCTAACTGCTTGGAACCGAGTAGATGAGCCGTGTCCAACATCTGGTGGAACTTGATGGTTCCACAACACAAGATCCCCGCCCTGCGCGCGGTGTGGTGTCCCTGGTGTGCCAGTCCTTGTAGATCTCCAAGTATCTGAGGATGGGACGACTGGACGGCCCGAGACCGGAGTATGCAAGAAGAAACTGCAAAAACCAAAGTGCACCGTGCACCAACTGAGCGATCCAAACAAGATCCCGGAACGATGTGACGTGACAGGCGGAAAGGCGTCCCTTGCTTTAAAGGAAAGGGCGCACGCTTTCTCTGGGGTATGACCTGGGTCATGACGTGTGGGCCTATCTGCCATCAACGGAAGCCGATCCACCCTGAGTTCCGGACTCGGAGCTGATTGGGGGTTGAAGTGGCTTATTGCTCTCTTTGCTTCACCCAAGATCTTAGTGGCTCAGCTGAACTTCCCCCCTAAGTGTTACAGTACAGAGGAAGTTCAGCCCAGAGGAAGTGAAAAATCGTTGCCCAAATTGATGCTTACAACTCTTCAGCTCATGGCCTAATGGCCTAAGTCCCAGTCGCGGTGGACGTCTTGGCCTATAATATCTAGCGTTCTCGATCTATCATATCCCAACAATTCCGCGTTCCATGCAGGAGTAGTGCAAACCCTTTGATGTTCAGTTCTGGCTGGAAGCTGGGCAGCAAATTAGGAAAAGAAACATCCAAGTGGCGTTTTCTTGGGAACAGGTTGCAAAAGATGTGCCCCCGCAAATTGGCTCAATAATTCCACTCCAGCTGGATTCCTTCCCACAAGTGTATTGGTATCCTCGCTCTACTGCACACTCCACTCTGAAACATGCCACCACTGCGGAGCTGGCTAGCTTTCCTCCGCCCAACCTTCGGGTTTTGAGCAGGTTCGCCCAACTGGTCCCCTAAAGAGGCCTGAAGTCTGAAAAATCCTGGTTGCCGGTGTTTTGGCGAATACTGTTCCTCCCAATCTATTTTCCTAAATGTCGAGAAAGGAGACCACTCGGTCAAACTCTGAAAGCTCTCAATGTTCGGGGGGGCAAGAACCCCTCTGTGCCGCGAACTCACCCATGGCACATGAGGCTTTCGAACGAAGGCGCCGCACCGCTTCGCCACACCGAGTTGGTCGGGTTCGGCGCACGAGCACTTGCAGCTGTGCTGAACACTGCCATCCACGTGACGCCGGCCTTGGTGAGACCGGAGGTCTACGGAAACCGAGCGCGAACTCGTAACCAGACTCCATGTGCCGATGCAGCAAAAGAGCTTCCAGATTCCTGGGAAAGTGTTCTCCACTTTTGAGCGCGCTTAGAAGCAGACGGCGAATCTGGGGCTTCGATTTGGGTAGCCCATGTCTGTCACACAGCGGCAACCTGACACACATACAGTAAGTAACGGTCCTCCTTCTCTGGCTTGACAAAGGTTGGTGCTCTCATATTTCAACCAAGAGGTGACACCAATTCCCACACCCAAATTCATCCTAACCTATGACTTTTGAAGACCAAACAACAGCAACTCCCCCTTCCAAGCACTGGCAAATCTTCAGTTGCGTTGGCTACGTCTTCACCCCTCCGTTGAATTTGTGTACATCAACCAGGGGCAGTTTGAAGGAGCTTCGTGGAAACCTACCACCTTTCTAATTGCACCCCTTCCTGAAGCACAGCGGAGGCTCAAGGAGTACGCCAAGCAGGTTGACCCGTCCACTTTGAAAACCTTGATTGGAAAAGACGACCTGGGAGTGCATCTCACACCAGCGCCGCCAAAGAGTATCCGGCCTACGTGAACCAGGCAAAGCTGTTTTTCGACAAGTGGTTGGTGCAAAGTCGGCGCCAAACAAGGACAGGGACTGATCCAGAGCTCTTGCAAAAAAAAAAGTCCCTGGAGGCTTGCGAGAACTATGCTCGCAGGAGATGCCAGACGATGCTCGCCAAAGGCGACACTGTGAAGTCACAAGTGCCAGCGCCACAAGACGCGGATGGCCAGAAAGCAATGGAACGCAAGGACAGCGCAGCAACTCCGGAAAGTCCAACCGATCGACGTCTCCATTTTGTTCGGCTTTTTCACTCCAGTTGGCCCAGGGCCGACTCGGGGGGTGGGCCTGAGCCTCCCACTGATCTCTGCGAAAATATAGTCCAAGATCCGGCACATCAGGCCCCTGCGGTCCGGTCGACCCCAAATCCGCGTCTCGTCGCTTCGTCCGGTTCGATGTCCCGTGGGGGGGCTCATCGGTTTCCAAGTGAATCACAAGTCTTCTTAAAAAGCAAAAGAAGAAGCGCCAAAGAGAAGAACAGAACTCAGCTGATGGTTTTGGTTCCAACCTGAACAGCCAAGCAAAGCTCCCGCCAAAAACATCAGCTGCTGATCTGCTTTCTTCCTTCGGTCGTGGGCGACGGTCGGCTTAGCAGTCCAGGCCCCACAGGACGAGTGCGGCCCCAACCCGTTGCGTGCCTCCATCGTGGAACAAACGCTGCTTCGTTTGGGGACAGTGTGGCCCAAACGCTTCCGCACTCCCAATGAGAGTAGTTTCTGGCCACAGTCATACTTGGTGGTCCCTTCTTGAACTTGCACATCGGCAAAGAGGTCGGAACTCCCACAGCCATTCCGCCCGCCTCTTGTCCTCATGGTGCATCGATTGAACCGAATCCTCAGGAAAGGGCAGCGAAATCTGCACCATCCAATGTCACTCCTGACATTGAAGTTGAGGTGTTGCTTTTTGGCTTCGACCTTTGAAGTGCCTTACGATGAAAACTCCCCCAAACTACTCCGTACCTGTATTTTTACCCACCGCGTGAAAGGAGTGACTTAAGAAAAAAGACAAGCGCTCTGGGGAATCACTCACATCCTGGCAAGGAGATCTGACTCCAAAGGTAGAAAATGACCGGGTTTGCTAGGATTTACTAGGTATCTGTGCAAGATGGAACCTAGAGAATCTGGGCTGCAGATAGGATCCCCCTCTGTAGCCCAGCATCTCGAAGACTCAAAAAGGAAGAGATTCCAAGCTGATCACATTCCAATGTTCACCAGGGCTATTGTCTTCTATTTTTGGGATGGAAAATAGAAGAATGCACGATGACGATGCCACAGAGACAAGCAAGAACCTGATTGAGGTAAACCAGTCTGCGGAATGATTCCACCCAGGAGTCGGCAAATATCTTTAAGGTTCCAGCCACTGCCCCCTGCATGGTGTAGGTCTTACCGCTTCCAGTCTGGCCATACACATAAATGCTTCCATTGTACCTGCAGCCAAATAGGCTCAGTGTGTAAACGCAAAATCAAAGTCAAAAGGTTCAAAAGGATTTGGAGAAAAAAACAAGGTTGACCCTTGACCCGTCCATGTTCAAGTATCTATGATTCTAAGTCGCATTCACACCGGGAGTCTCTTGGTCCTCTTGTTAGTCTCGCGTTCACACCGGGTCGCTCTCGTATGGCGCACCCACTCAGTGTATGCTCCGCCACCCGCTGGCCCAGCAACTCGAAGACCTGGTCACTCGAAGACCCGGTCTTCGAACCGCTTGGCGAGTCGCACCCTGAACCAACCGCCTTCATCGGATTTCATCGGGGTAGAAGGTTGTATCAATGACAAGGACAAAAGAAGGTGTTGTTGTAATGTATTATATTACTTTGTATCCTCACCTCTGACTCATCTTAACACCTTTGGGCAGAGAACTTAACCCCGTGTGGGTATATTTGACTTTGGTCACTCCCGAAAAACATAATCGGAGAGCAAGCATGGATGTTTTGAAGATCGGTCTTCCTAAAACATGCCCTGGACTGGGAAAATGCTGGACAAAAAATCCGCGCCCTGGACGAAGCGGTGATTTGTTGTCCAGCAACCCGAAACACAGCCACCCACTGAGGCGCTGTGTTTGGACTACTTTCCTGTACCAAGTGGTAGTGCATGCAATATGTGTTGAATAATATAACATATGTATATATATATATATATATTGGTTTGGGTGAGTACATCTCAACTGGAGGAAGGCTGATCCAAATCTTTCAGGCATCGAACGGGGCGCAAAACTACTCTGTTACGAACCAATCCCGGGGTTGGCACAAATCGAATCGAAAAGGGCGGACCGGCGGCAAGAATGCGAACATTTTTCCTAACTCTGTGGTGGAATAATATAGGGAAAAGCGATGTGATTGTATGTGTAATGAGCATGAACTTTTCTGGCATCATAACAGTGTGCAGGGAGACCCTCCAGCCTCCAACCACTAGACGCTGTTTTTGTGTGAGTTGACTCGCCAGGTCGTGCTGGTCCTGCATCCTCTTGACCGAACCTCCTCTTGAGGCGAATCATGGCCAAGAACTCCGTCAAAGGCAAAGCGCCGAGGAGGCTCTAAGCACTGCACCTGGGCGATGAACTCAAGGGCAGAGCTAGCCACACAGGAGGCAGGCTGCATATCCAGTAAGTTCCAAGAGCCACAAAAGCGCTGAGTTTGTGGTTGGTTAAATCACTGAGATAATTTATGCTTGTGATTCCGTCAGAGGTATGTTCAATCTGAAGACGCAGCTGTCGGAGCATTGCTGGTGGGGCAGTCTCAGAATACTTCAAAATTCTTCCTGGAGTATTGGTTCCCCAAGTTTGATGAACTCTGACGAAGCCTTCCTTTTGCCGGTCCCCGTGACAAACGACAAAACGACAAAAACCGCTGCGGTGCCGGGCCATGCCGGACGTTGTGTCCACCACAATGCTGTCACGAAGATGAGCTAGGTCCTGGAAGAGGCAATGGTGTCCTCTTGGAAAATGGTGCCAGGTACTAGAAAAACCCTAGAAATCCGGTTTGACTATCCTTTTCTTTAGTGAAGTAAAGGAAATTCCCTTTCAGGCCCCTAGTCAGACTCTTCTTTCTATAATCTTAGAGAGTCTTGGACTATTGAGGCACCACCATACCGGTATACCTACCTGGTCCGTTAGAAGAAACCCGGCTCCCCGCATCGACCGGCTCCCCGCGCTCTCTCCGCTCCTCTCGGACGTTGGGCGGTCGTACGCGGACGAAGACGCGGATCTGCGAAGACGAGTCGGGTCGAGGCGATCGGATGGAAGCGATGCGGACGAGTGCTGGCATGGCAAGGCAAAGGATGCGGCGTTGATCGATGGGTCAACTCCAACGAACATGGCCAAAGAAAAAAAGGGATGGAATTGCTCTACATCGATGGTTCAAGGTGTCTGCATCTTTCGGGATTGGCAAGCTTGTTTCTTGTACACTAGGAACACATGGTTTGCCACTCTGTGGGACAAAGCTCTCTCAAATAGTTGGACAAGCTCTCTTGAATGGATGAGCTGAGTCAGGTGTGTCGATCTTTCTCAAATCCCCCCAGTCACCAGGCGCACATTGTCATCACGATCCGTCTGAGGGGCGGCATCGGAGCGGGGCGACGCGGGAGATCTCACGTCAAAGAGCTCCTGGGTGCGGGCTCTGCCGGTGGAGATCCGTATCTCACCGCGAGGCAACGAGAGGTGGTCGGCAATCTCTTGCTCTCTGTTTCGGCACCCCAACGAGAGGTGGTCTGATCCTCACAGCAAATGGTCAGTCTGGATGACATTTGGTCTTCCAACCGTCCTTCTACAAAGCATCACTTGAACCGGACCAGGATTCTGTGAGGTTTCGAGCCAACCAACTGAACAGTGCACCTGCCTCATCATCTGCCTCTTCTTCCTGAAATGATGTTTTCGAGCATGCAAATCGGCGGGCAAATGTGTTGGATCTTTTAGGTCTTAGTTGTAGCAGTTGTTTGAAGAAACCTCCAAGAAGTCCACCGATGCACCAATGTTTTTCCCATGGATTCCATACTCCACAGAGGGCCTTTTTGACAACCATGCAGGGAACCAAAAAACCATCCGTCGCGCCTGTGCCATGTGCCATCAGTTGCACCCTTTGCAGAGCCGATTGGCTCCACAGTCCACTTATTGACGATGGGCTGAACAAAGACATGTCACTCTGATGTTATTTTCATCCAACACAACTTTTTCGCTGTTGAACTGTTGGGGAAGATATCGAATGAGGACTCGTGGGATGAAACTTAACATGATGCTGTTGATATGTAGTTTTCAAATGAACCCATGAGTGGCACCACAAAAATAATGTTGGAATCAAGACCTGTTTGCAAGGTTTCAATCCTCAATGCGAACCTTTGGGGGAAAACTTACAATCACCTGCACAGACCATTTGAAGGTGTTGAGCCAAACACGGAGTCAGGGAAGGTGAGAATCTAGTACAAACAAATGTGTGAACTAAGAAAACAAGAAGACCTGGCAAAAATTCTATTGAAGCTGCCTTTTCTGCATTTAGTTATTTTCAAAGGCAATCAAAGTAGATTGCGAGGTCCGTAGTTTGAGTCCATCCCTGCCTTGATTCGTTTCGGTCGTTACAGATCAAGAGGTCCTAAGAGGACCAAGGTGGCTCAATTTTGTCAGTTAAAGTAAACTGTCGCTTAGTGACAACGCTGCGTTCCGTCGCAGCAGTGCGCTTCAACCTACAATGCTGAAAACATGCATAAAAACATAAAATTGTGCAGTAACACTAAGTGACTGCGTGTTAACAGCATGTCGTTTTCTAACAAAGCCCTTGTGAAAAAAAAAAAATGTTATAACCATGCATTTAAGTGCATCCACGTTCACTTTCATTTTTGGACATTGGTTTGTTTTTCAGATACAGTACGTGTCGTTTGGTTCGCTCTTAAAGCACTTCACATTCAACTGATTCGACCGTTCCTTTTGTTAACTTCTGTCAGTTGGTTTCTAGTTAACTTTTCTTTTTGTGCAAAAATGATACGCATGGAAAGTAGATGTTCAAAGAACTTGAAAAATGTTGCTTGACTGCTGATTTTATTTTGGTGTCTTCTGGGCAATATTTCGTAGTTTGGGTTCTGCTCATTCTGAAGGCATTGAAACAACAGTGGGCTACATACAGTTGATGTTCAAGATTCAGCTTGCAAAGCAACCTTTGTGAAAGGAAAAATATGAGAGAGCAAGTGAACAAAAACGCACCCATTTTCTGACCACAAGCGCAGCGGCGATTTGAGCAGTTTTCAACCAGCACATCACTGCACATCCACATGTTTGGAAAACTTCAACACCCCGCCTAAAATTGAAAGACGAAACGGTGTCTCTCTTTTCCTGATTCCTGTGCACTCCATCATTGTTTGCAAAGTGAGTAAAGAAAAGTTTGCCGTAATTTTTTTGTAACTCAATCGTTTTTGCAACTCCAAAATAAATTGGTTCGTGGTGTCTGGTTTGTCGTTCCATGCACTTTCAAAAATTTTCTCTTTCTCTCTTTCTTCTCTCTCTCTCTCTTCTCTCTCCATCTGGCTCTGCGGTGTCATCATAAACTGCCGTCAAACACGTTCATTCTCCACTGCTCCTTCCTGCACGACAGCATCTGTTGCCGAAACTGTGATGGATTCACCTTTGTTTCGTGAAGTGCTGGTGCATCACCATCCAAAAAAATCTGGATTGCACAAACCAGACGACCAAGCCGTTCTCTATTGAGACCTTGCCAGCATTGGGGTCCAGTGAGAGAGTGGGTGTGCAAGACCTTCAAAGTTTCCTAGATGGGACAGCCGACCAAGACAGACCCGCTTCGAAACTGTAGGTTTTTTCATGTGGTTTCTTTGATCCTTTTTGCTTGAAAAAACTGAGAGGAAGGAGACACGAAAGGTAGGACAGCGAGAGGCAGGAACAAAAATGCAATGTTCGACATGGTGATTTATCCCCTCGGAGGCGATCTTTCGTAATATATTGTTCATATGCACTCTAAATGTTCAATCATATGCTCTCGAAATCTTCAAAAAGAGTCTTAGGAAAACAAACTTGCCAATGGCTCAGATCATCGTGAGCATTGAATCGGAGCATTGAACTGTCCTGAAACCACAAGAGAAGACGCTCCCCAAGAGAGAATTGACGTGCTTCACAAAACAAACTCAGGTATGTGTCCCCTCGAAAATATTTTTCGTGCTTGGAATTTCATATGCACTCTTTCTGAAGAGAGTTTTAACACCTGAAATCATGAGAGGCTCACAAAGACGTTCTTCAGAAGAGAATTGAATTTAGAGGGGGAGGGGGGGTCTGCATTGAAAACAATTCCAAGGGGGCGGAGGGGGGAGAGGAGTCTGTGTTGAGAAATCAATTCGAGGGGAGGGGACGGGTTGAATTGAATGATCAATTGTGGACGCGCCTTT